AGTAGGGGCAGAGCCAGGATTTTGAAAAGTAGATAAAAGAGCACTAGGCAAGGCATCAGGGTATTAAGGCTGTTGCTGCCACTAAGGCTGTGGGGCCTTGAGCAAATCAAATAATAATCTCCATGGGCCCTGTGTCTTCCTCTGCAAAGGACATTGGGCTACATTGATGTTAAAGTCCTTCCCAGTGCTTAAATTCTGATTGTCAATGCCTGTTTTCTATTGTCACTTGTTTGAAAATCCTTAGAGAAAGAGAAATTAACCACACAGAACCTGAAAGTAACTCTGGAAGCCAAATTTAGAAAACAGATCTTCAAAGGAGAAAAAAAGTGAAGTTTACAAAATGTCTTTATTTAGAAAGAAGACTGTCCTGCAAAGTGTTTGGCATGATTTGTAAGACTCAGTGACCAGATAAAAGCCATACATATCTCCTTGAATGGCCAGTTCTCTTGTAACCTGGTTCAGTGGTCCTTTCTGGCCAGCTAAACTGGCTAAAGCTGGAAGAAGCCCATCTTGTGTGGGAGGGATCTGAGAGAAGAAGCCAAGCTTTTCATGTGGGTGTTCTAGCTTGAATTCAGAATGTCTATACCATTCTGTCTCCTTCTGTTTTTGTTCTTAGTGATTATTATATAGTGACCCAACCCACTGCTACCATGAACCAGTTTTTTCACAACCTTGTGGTGAGCCATGGTGTAGTGAACAGATTTGACTTTCCATTCTCCATGTGGTTCTTTCAAAAGTGTGGGTTTGAGTCTGTGATAAATCTTGGCAAAAAAGCTATCTGTAGCCTTATGATCTTGGGAAAGTCACTTAAATTCTCTGTGTCTTGATTTTCCTCATCTTGTTGTAAAATGATGTTTATAACACTTGTTCTCTTGTGTTACAAATTTCAAATAGTATGATATTTGTGGAAGTAGTTTGGAGAGATTAGAGACTTCTTGCATGACAAGGAAAGTGAGGTTGAGAGAATGCCTCTCACCTAAAGAGACCTGGTGGTGGTGTGCACGAGACAAGTGCTCTGTCGGTGGGCAGGGCTGAATTAGAGTTGGACTCTGCCTGTCATCTGAGCAAGTTATTAAACCTCTATAAGTCTTTTCAATTTGTAAAATGCAAAGTTGTTGAGGTATGGAAATAGTAAACATGAAGCTCCTACACATAATAAGCCATTAATAAATGGTAGCTATTATTATTTTTATTATCAATTGTTGAATTATAGTGCAGAGTTAGCAGATTCATAATACCAGGTCTCATATTTTAAAACATGCATACTATTTCATTTTGAACTCCAGGAAGAAGCCAGTATAGAATTGGGCTGTCCTTCTAGGAAACCAAATAGCTTGTCTTCTAAATGGCTGAGGCCAATTCTGGAAGCTTATCCTCATACACATCACACCTTAAGGAAATCAGGACAGTATGAGAGTGCTTCAAAAAGTTCATGAAAAGATTCATATTATATTTTAATTCTGTTTTTCCACAAACTTTTTAAGTACCCTTGTATCTTTCTTCCCTTTAGAAGTTTCTGCCTAAGTCCCCACACTCTATGGCCTCAGGAATTCTAGAAGACTGTTGGGATATCAAAACTTGCCTTTGCATTCTAAGGCTCTCTGAACAGGATATAATAACAATGAAATAATTCCCAACACTTTTTAGCATAGGAACCTCATTTTAAGGTAAAATAAAATCTCAAGGAATCCCATATAATAATAGTTCTACTTAAAAAAAAAAGTTCTACTTTAAGTAGCCTTTGATTGGAAAAATGCGTGATAAAAATTCAGCAACAGGAAAAAAATTAGTCCTGTCTTGAAATTTTTTTTGAATAGGTAGTATATAGACTTAATACAAAATGCACAAAGCACAAAGGGAATACCACAAAATTGTCCTTCTTGCACCCCAGCCCTCAGTCATACAGTGCCCTTCCCCAGAGCTAACTATTGTCTCAATTCCTGCTGTGTCCTTTCAAAGGTAATCTATGCACTATAAACATTTACATAATTATCCTTTTTAAAAAGACAAAATGGTAGCATATCTTACCACTCTTCTTCATCTTGCTTTTTTTCACTTAACAATGTCTTATTATACTTTGTTATACTTTAAGATGCATATGTATAAAAGGAGAATATGTATTTTTATCCATCGTGACATCTACTATTAAAAAATTGCATTGCATTTTTTAGTATACAGGAAATTCTAGTGTGCAATGACTATATAACACTTAGAGATTCTCAGCTCTTAGATTGGGAATCACTGGTAAAAGTAAAACATCAATAATATTCAGCATTAATTTTAATCCTTACTGTGTGCCAGGCATGGTTCTAAGCACTTTATACATATTATCTCACATTATCCACATCTTACTTATCCTTCTAGTCTCAGTTTAAATGTTATCTCCTTAGAGATAAGCCTTTCCTTATACAAACAGACCTACCCTCTCCCCTTTAAATTATTCTCTATCATTTCATCCTGTTTATTTCCTTCAGGATACTCATCACTATAAGTAATCAGTTACCTATTTGTCTACTTGTTTACTGTGTCTCCCTAACCAGCATAACTTTTTGAGAGCAGGGACAGTGTTAGTTTAGCTCACCATAGTACACCCAGTAACCAGTATGGTGCCTTAGTGTTTGGCATAGAGGAGTCATTCAATTAGATATTATTGAATAAGTACATGTGAGCAAAAGACACTTTATGAGGTAGACCCTGTTATTTTCTCATTATACTGATGAAGAAACTAAGGCCTACAGAATGAAATAGACACACCCCATAGTTAAGTTGCAAAATTGCTTTAAAACTCAGCTCTGCTTGACTCCAGAGCACAAGCTCATCACCACTGCTCTGGTCTCAGAAACAGAAGACTGAGTACTCTTCTTACTGTGTGTGATCTTGAGTAAGTCCCTTTTCCTCTTTGAGACTTTTTCTTTCATTGAAACATGAGAGGGTAGAGTTAGCCATCTTCCTTATAGAAATTTTTTGTGATTTATGAGATCTGTGATCTATGAAAACGAAAAGGGGAATATTGAAGGGGCCAACAAGGTTGATGCCTTTAAAAGTGCTGATTTTCATTTTTTTTCTTCCCACCCTCCTTCCTTCACTGAAGATCTCCTGACCTTTATTCTCTGCCAGGAACTATGCTGGATGTGATAGGGGTCCAAAGACTAATAAGACATAGTCTCTGACATTAAGGTGCCTGGTCTGATGGGAGATGCAGACCCATTACCAGCTGCTTGCAGAACAGTATGGGCCAGTGTCATACTAGTAACCTGTGAGGCACATGGTAACACAGAGGAGAAGGCATTAATTCCATGATGTATGTGTATGGTGGTGAGAGTAGAGGTAGATATGCAGGAAGCAGAGATGAGGTAGAACGCTGAGCTGGACCTTGAGGAAGGAATAGTTTTCCAGGTGGACAAGAAGGAGGTGAGCTTCCTGGACACAAGAAACATTACAGGCAGAAGCAAACCAAGAAACAGCACAATGTGTTGAGGATTGCAAGGGGAGGGGTTTGCTCTCAGCATATGGAGGTGGTAGGTGGAAGTAGCCTATAAAGAGCCTTGCTGAAGTGTTTGGGCTTTACTTCTGAGAGCAGTGGCATGGCCAAATTATATTTACATTTTATTTTTAGAAAGATCACTTTGGCAGTGGCAGGCCTGGAGGTGGGTGATGAAGTAAAAGGTGAGGTGATCAGTTAGGAGGCTTTGCAGTTGTCCAGGTGAAAGATAATGAGGACTTGGACTTAAGGTATTTGCTGCAGAGTTGGGAAGGAATTAAATAAATTGGAGATTTTTTAAAAAGTTAGAGCCAAAGGACTTGGTGATTGATTGGATGAGGAAGAATAAGGGATGAGACTAAGGGACTTATTGGAATGGACTGGGTGGCCAAGTATAAAATGGTGCCATTTATAATTATAGAGAATTTGGAGTGAGGTGGGAGTAACATGCTGTTGGCTTCGGATTTATTGAGTTTGAGGTGTCTCTTAGACAGCCAGGAGGAAAGGTGTAGCTGCCTCTTTCCTTTCCAGAATAGCAGTCCTAGCCTAAGTCTGACATCCTTGGGTTAGTTTTCTGTGGGGCCCAGTCAGGGATAAAATTCTCCAAGACTTCATTGGCATTCCAGAGCTCAACATCTTTCTAGGATAAAAGTTGGGCACTGAAAACTCCCTTGATCCTCACTGATAAGGAGAATGAGTTATGGACCTGTTTTGTTGTCGTTGTCCTTGTTGTTTTTTAAATCAGATGCTGGTTTTAGTGGAGCAAGCTCTTCTACCTCTTGCAAGCACCAGACTTTAAAAAAGAAGTAATTTCCACGGATCAGCTTCTGGCCCTGAAAGGCTCTGGCTCTCAATTGGCTCCCAAGAAGCCCCCCACCTCTCTTAGGGAGCGAATTTTTAAAAGAAGATGAGGTTGTACAGCGCTGTATGGTCCCGCGTGGCTGCTAGAGTCTTGGGGACTGGACCCTCTCCCACCCACCACCTCTGGTTAGGTGTCCTCAGTGCTGAGACAGGACTCCCTATAGCCCCAACTCTTTACAAAATGACGGGGCTGGGATCCTACCCCACCTCTACTCAAATATCCAGCGCTCACCTGGCGGTGGCAGGGCCGAGCACGTGGGATCATTTAGGGGCCAGCCTCCAGGGTCGTCCTAGGGAAGGGGACAGCCCAGGAGGCGAGAGGCTGGCCTGCCACCTTGGCCTTGTCAACCTCCCTGGCTCCTACAGCTGATGGCCAAAGCAGGGGCACGCCCTGTGTCCCACTCCCACGTTCATAGGATGGTGCAAGAATCCGTTCTCTCTTTTCTGCCCTCTGCTCAAGCACTACCCCCACTGTCATGCTGATAAATTTCAGGAGCAAAAGGTGGTACGATTCCTCTCTCGCCCCTTGTGGGCTGAAGGCGGGCACTAAAGCAGTGCAGTCCCAAGCTTCCCCTGCAGAAGCCGCGCTCCCCACTCGGTCCGGAGATAGAGGGGGCGCGAGAGAGCAAGTGGGCGGGCGTCCCATCCTCCGCATCCTCCTCCAGGTCCTGGCGCGCAGGGTGGGAGCGCTGCGCTGCGCCGCGCTGCGCATCGCGGCCCGCTTGCAGCCTGCCCCCTGCCCTAGCCGGGCCACCTCCCCGGGCTGCCGGTGGAGGACTACAAGGCGCTAACGTTACGCTGTTTCCGGTTTTCCAGCGGGCTGTGTTCCCCTCCCAAGGCGGCGGCGGCTGAGCGGCGGAGCCCCCCAAATGGCCTGGCCAGATGCGGCAGGTTTGCTGCTCAGCGCTGCCGCCGCCGCCACTGGAGAAGGCTCGGTGCAGCAGCTACAGCAACAACAGCAGCAGCAGCAGCAGCGAGAGGAGCAGCAGCAGCAGCAGCGAGAGCGGCAGCAGCAACAGCAGCATCTCCCGTCCCGCTGCGCCCCCAGAGCCGCGGCCGCAGCAACAGCCGCAGCCCCGCAGCCCCGCAGCCCGGAGAGCCGCCGCCCGCTCGCGAGCCGCAGCCGCCGGCGGCATGAGGCGCGACCCGGCCCCCGGCTTCTCCATGCTGCTCTTCGGTGTGTCGCTCGCCTGCTACTCGCCCAGCCTCAAGTCGGTGCAGGACCAGGCGTACAAGGCACCCGTGGTGGTGGAGGGCAAGGTACAGGGGTTGGCCCCGGCTGGCGGCTCCAGCTCCAACAGCACCCGCGAACCGCCCGCCTCGGCTCGGGTGGCGCTGGTGAAGGTACTGGACAAGTGGCCGCTCCGGAGCGGGGGGCTGCAGCGCGAGCAGGTGATCAGCGTGGGCTCCTGTGCGCCGCTCGAAAGGAACCAGCGCTACATCTTTTTCCTGGAGCCCACGGAACAGCCCTTAGTCTTTAAGACGGCCTTTGCCCCCCTCGACACCAACGGCAAAAACCTCAAGAAAGAGGTGGGCAAGATCCTGTGCACTGACTGCGGTGAGTCGCCCCCTCCCTCTGCTAGAGAAAGGGGGGAGGGGCGAGGTGCTGGAGAATGGGGGTGGGGTGGGGAGGTGCTGCAGGTGCCCAGGCCTGGCAGTGTCCTGCCGCTGGGGGGTGGGGCCACCCCTGGGCAGGGCGCCTGGCACGGGTGGGTGAGGGTTTTGGGGTTGGGGAGGAGGATCAAGCTCAAAGTGTGCCAGCCAGGGATGGGGGGCGGGAGGAGGCGCTGGCCTGTGCCAGCAGGGATCTGCGGCTGATGTATGGCATGGGGGGCTGGAAAGATGCCATCATAGCCCAGTAGCAGAAGGAAAGACGGAGAGGTCCGAACAGTGCTGGCCTGAGGCTCAGTGAGTCAGGAGTGACCCTCAGAGGCCTTGCCCGCTCTGCTCCCTCGGGCCTGCCTTGTCCAGGTTGGCAGGGTCTGCAGGAGCAGCTGGGCAGACTCCCAGGCTATGAAGGCCTCTGCTTACAAGTTCTCCTAGGGAATGATCGCCCCCGCCCCCTCCTTCCTCTCCTGGGCTCGCTGCTCTGCTCATCCACACCGCTGGCGCAGGCAGAGTTGGACTTTTTCTGCTTCTGTTTTCCTTTGCTGTCCTCCATGTGGCTCTGGTTTTTTGTTTTGGGTTTTTTTTTTTTTTCCTCCATCGTGATTGCCTGTCTCTGCTAAGTGGATAGCACAGCCTTCTCAACCTCCAGGACTAGCAAGCAGACACTTCTTTTCGCTGTTTCTGGGGGATCTTACTAGGTCTGTTGATGATGACGATGAAATACAGTAACTTCTGCTGAATGCTGTAAGTTCAGCTCTGACACCTTCTTGGCCGGGTATATTGACTGCATCTCTCATCTTCATGATGTTGGGTGCTGCACAGGAATGCAGGTGATTAGAGACAAAAACCTGAAATCTACAAATCTGTAGTTCTGTGCAGCTGGGAATGGGGGTCTTCCACATTGGAAGTCAAAGAAATGTCAGTTTAAGAGCTTTTTCTTCTTGTCCCTGAATCCAGAGTACTTACTTCTCAGTGAAATATTTCAGATTGGATTGTCCCCACAATGGAGTATTTGGAGTTAGCCTGCCTTGTGCTTATTCATATTGGGATTTCATTTTGTCTCAAGTAAGGCTGAATTTGTTGCATGCTGTGTGACTCGACCACGTAATCACTGAATTGTGATAGATGTCCTGGACTCTCATAGAAGTTGTTATGTTTACCAGTTTACTAACTGATTCTGGGTAGTGTAGATTGGGTTTGAGTAGCAAAACATATGTAACAGCTCAGAGAAGTTTTGCTGCCCTCATCCTTCTATTTGGGGGGGGGTAGCTGGTGGGTGTGGGGATCTGAATCCCTGACCTTGGTGTTATAAGGCTGCCCTCGTCTTTCTAGATCAATGTCTTTGACTTTTGGAAGCTCCCCCACCTGACCACCCCCACCCCGCTTCGAGAGGCAAATTTTAAGAGTTTGTTTGTGGGAGTATATCTAGGCACTATGTTAAACTGTGATCACTTTTAATGAGAAGAATCTTGGCAATGTCTTAATCAGGAGGGAAAAAACTTCAGGGGTAACAGCAGTTTATGGCTCTGACATTATTCTAAGGAATATTGTTGACTTCTTTTTAATGTTAATTTCATGCTCTGAAATGTTTTGTGTTGACAAGTTGAGACTAGGTAAGAATTTCTAGTTTTTTATTCTATTAAGTATTTTATCTGAGATCCCTTGGGGAGCTGTGGAACTGTATTGTACAGTGGGAATAGATAGTAAACACATTTACTGAACCTTGTCCAAGGTCAGTTTCTTTTTGGTTTTTAGTGAGTTGCTCCTGAATATGCACGGCACACATCTTCACATAATCCCTAGTCTAGGCCACTGAGGACCTGATGGTCATTGTCAGATAACCCCATAGAGTAATGGGCTTCTCCGCTCCCTTGTTCCCCTCTTCCTGTTATCTCCTTCCTCCAATGCAATATGCTTTATCAGTTATACCTTTTTTGTTTTAGGGAGCATTTAAAAGTTTAACAGTTAAATGCAGAGGTCATGAAAGATTTGAGGGTCAGAAATATAGTCCACTTTTAGGTTATGGTCATTTCATATTATTAAAATAGCATATATAGTATAGTTCTCATGAAAATAAACTTAGGACTGCAAGCACTGGTAAAGGGAAGGCCCTCACACATCACAAATTATCAAGGAGCAGGAATGTGTATGGCAGTAAACATTTTAGAATGCAAAAAATTTCACTTTGAATTGATAGTGTATAGATAGGTGTCAGTTTAGGGGACTTTATATAAGGGGATTAGAAACTAAAGGACATATTTGTGAGAGGAGACTTGTGGAATTGGTGATAATATAACAGAAGAGTATAAACTGTATTTTCTTATTTTCTACTATGTGGTTACAGAAAACAAGTACTGGTGATGGTATATTAAATAAGGAAACAAAATCACCTTAACTAACCACAACACCTTCCTTGTGCTCAGCAGCTCAGCAGGAAATAACTAACAAATTCAGTTTCTGTTTTCCATGCTAAAGAAAGCCTTCTGGGCCACAGGGTCATTGGGAACATTTTCTCCTTGGAGCAGATTTGCCCATTGCAAAATAGGGAAACTGGCACTTGGAAAACTGTCATCCTGGCCGTTATATTGAGCGACTGAGGTTGCATTGTTACTTTGTTTAGCCAGTTTCAGTACTGAGCATGTCTGTGTTCTGGGAGTTGTGGTTCCTAGGGAGGTCATCTAGAAAGCTGTGTCTTGGGGGTGGGGCAGGACTTTGAGATGATGTACCATATGGAAAGATATATTGTGCAGGGGTCATACGGGACCCTTTCTAAAAGATCCTCATAAACGGCTAATTTTAACTTAAATGTTGACTTGAAGTCTGTGATCTAAGGTGGGGAACGGTAGACAGAGGTCTTGCTGGAATAGAAATACCTGCCAGAGGGGCACTTTGACAGATCTAATGTGTATCATTTATCCAATACTTCCTCTGGTGGTAAAGAGTTGAGTAAAATCTTTGCATTTCTAAGGAGAGGGAAAAAAGTTAGAAAGGCCTTGCAGAGATTAGCAACTCTGACAATGCTTTAAAAGCACCCTGTTCTGCAAATAGGCCTGCATTTTAGAAGATGGTTACATATATTTTGGTATAATTACACCCTTATCTGTTGCTTTCTTATATATATGTTTTAAAGCTGTTTCTTTATTGAATAGATGCAGAAGATAGCATAAAAAAAGGAAAGATCATTTCTTCCCTTGGGAGTTTCTGATCCGCAGTTTTCCAATGCATAGTGCACTTTGTTGCTAAACATGGAAAAGGTGTATTCCTGGGGGAGTTTACATTCTTAGGATAGTTTTAAATTAATCTGGCACCCAGATTCAGATATTAGAGAAAGGTGGTTCACAAAATTCAGCATAAAAAAAGCAACTGCATATTTTTTAAATGCTGTTTATTTAAAGAATCTTTTCTTCCCCAGCCAGCTGGAAACCCAGCTGTGCTGCAGCTTGAGGATGGGAAAGTGAAACTAGATTAGAAACTGACCAGTCCTAGTGATGAGGACAAGGCTTGGTTATGGATTTAGGACTTGAATTATTATCATAATGTAATTATTTCTTGTAGTGGCTGCTTTCCTCCGTAGACTGCAGTTTTGGAGCACAAGCAATATCTTATCTTTGAGATCTTTCTCCTAGTTCCCCTGGCCCCCAGTGTTTGGTGCTATGCTTGGCTTGTAGAAGGACTCTCCATAAGTGTCTTTTGAATGGATGAAGTCAAGTGAAAGGTAAAAAAGAAAGCCTCCAGATTAATACTAAAACAATCCTAACTCTCCTATCTGTGACCCCAAATCCTGTGTTGAAAAGCTGAGTTTGATGATAGCCTTTACCTGTCGCTATGGGAACCTTTTTTTCCAAAGGAGTCATTATTAACTAGAGTACTTAACCACAATGTGCTTAATCATTGTGTTGATTAGTGTTAATGGGATTTCAGCGGTGGAGAATAAAGGTCTTGCTTGGAGAAGATCCTCTTTTTTTTTTTTTTTGGAAGGTAGATTACCACTCCCCACCCCCAAATTTAAACAAAAATAAAACAACTATCAGTTTGAATTAACAAACGGTTTGGGAGTTAGGGAGGGTGGAATATTAACAGCCTAGGTGACTAACTTCCTCCTGGCCCCCAGTTAAAGCAACTATGCTTCCTCTTTACCAGCCTCTATTATCTAGGACATTTTTATTTACTAATGGCAGTCAGTTTTTTCTTTATAAAAATGTATTTATATTTTTTGATATGTGGCACATTTATATGGCTCAAAACTGAGAAAGTAAATAAGGATGTATGGTTAAAAGTCTCCCTTTTACCCCTGTTCTCAGTTACCCAGCTCTAAGGCAATTGTAAAATAACTTATTCTTGAAATGTGTATTTTTCAAAACAAAATGTTTTTCAAAGTAGTCTTATATTTTTCTTTTAACAGTTGGAGGATGTTAATTTTGCCACTAAGCCAATATTATGGTAAATTCTTCCCAGGTAATACATAGTTTTTTAAACCTAGCCCAAGATCTTAACTACTTAGTTCCTATTATCTCTGAATCCTTTTCTATCTTAACTATCTAGTCAAAGGATACTCTTTTCTTCTTAATCAATACCTTACCTCACAAATATAATCCTAGGGTAAGGAATGAAAACACCAATTTATTTCTCACATACTTTGCCAGTAAGAAGTTTTCCATGACAATAAATTTGTGAGTGAGTCTTAATTGGGATGCTCAAAGGAGAGATCCAAAGGCTTGTCACTGAGATTTAGGGCTGCAGCTCTGCCCATCCAGCAATTCCTACTGTTTCACACACTTGGAAATCTCACAGTAGCGTCCTTGTGGGAAAACACATGATTCCATATGATGGAAAGAGAAAACTCCACAGTGCATGATTGCTTTATTTCCATTCAGAAGCCAAAGACCCCAGTTGACAATGAAGAGTTTGATTTTGACTGTATTCATGCACAATTGGTACAGTTCCAGAGGG